GTCCTGAAGCGTAGAAGGAAAGAGATAAAGTAATTTTAATCTCACGGTTTAAGGGAACACAAAGAGACCTGTAGGTGAGCTTGAACCCAAGTTAGCTCATTTATGAGCACATATTTACTAGGAAGGGTGATTTCAGGAGAACTTCTTCAGTATTCCTCCATCACTGGATTTCCATGTTCGGAGTCTCATCAACCATAATCAAACGCTGTGTTTTACAATTCCAGTCAGTATTATACTTAAGAGTACATAAAATTACAGCGAAAGTCTTTTGAGCAAGGCGATGGAAAGATTCTCCATAAAATTAAAATACTCGCTAGTTTTATAGGCTGAAATAACGAAGTGCAGTAACCTCTTCCCTCTTATTCTTCTTGAAGCTTGATCAGCAAAGAAGAACGATGTTAGATGAGCAACAACCAAACATTTTCCACGGTACAACCTTTGCTTTACCAGACTAACTAGTCAGTAAAGATAATAAAAATATAAAATGATCGATCAAGTTTTCGAAGCATCCTTTGAATAAACCATTTGCGAACTGTCAAAAAGCCATTTCCTCATACATACTCAACAAGAAAAAGTTGGGAAACATCTAATAACCTGTAAATTTATATATGAACATACTGAATCAGTTAAACAGTCATATAAAAACCATTTGCAAAGGTCTCAGTCGTGTAATAAACCGTGTGGAGGAACACTTCATCGTGGACAAGAACGGTAAATAGAAGATTGTTTCTATAGTAGGGAATGGAGCCAGATGTTGTAAACAATCAGTGAAAAGAATGATAATACCAATATGAAGAAGTAAGTTTCATCCTGTTTCATATAAACTGGAAACCACTAGTAACTCTACTCCAAACCCTACATAGACAACTCATTCCAGTAGGGCAATAAATAAACCACAACGTTACGTGTAGTTTGCTAGCCAGTTTCTTATGTAAATATTTTTAAATATTTCTTGTTTGCATTTAAACTCATAGTCTTTTCCTATTGCCGAACACTCACTTAATTACTTATACCTGTTATTCCTCGTCGAAAAGCATAGACCATCCACCAGCAATCTCCATCCAACCCTGTCTTGGGCAATCCTTTCAAGTTCTTTCCAGTTACTATTCATGTTTTTTATATTTGCTTCTATTTTCCGACGTAGCGTGTTCTACGGTCTTCCCCTTTTCCGCTTCCTTTCACGATTCCAAGTTAGGGCTTGCCTCGCCAAATATTTATTCTTATATAAATATTTGAATTCTGATAATGTTTTCATATATAAACATTCTTTTCTGTGAACCGTTCTGGGTATCCATTTTCCGTCAGGGTTTTCTTGAGGAATTCAAATTCTTCGTTAATGCATTCCTTACTGCATATCTGACGTATTCGATAACATAAAGAGTGGATAAAGTTTCTCTTTCTACTTAACGGAACCCAGCTATAGAAGTTGGTTAGCTGTCCATTCCATGTTTGTTTTCTAAAGATGAATCTTTTTAAAGAACCATTACTCATTCTCATCAGACGTACATCGAGAAAAGGAATTGATTGGTCCCGTTCCCTTTCTAACGTATAGTCTATAGAATAAATATGTTTACATATTTAGCTTATTTTTATTATTCTTTTGTGTTACATCACTGATTTCCGTGTGTTCACAACAGAGATGTTCTTGTACTGAACGTGATTAATATTGTTTTCTTTCTGTATGCTCAAGGTCACATACGTGTATGACAATTCTATGTATAAGTATACCACGCATATCACTACCTCACATGCTATATATATATAATAATAATCATTATTATTACTATTCATCTAATTATGTAATGCAAATTAACATGTTCACCTTTATGGAGTATTCTGTATTCATGTACATAGTTTTCTATCATTGTACCCGCTGAACACTCTATGAGGAGCTGTGAAGAAATGGAACGTTTGTGAATAATAATCATTATTATTATTATTATTCATTTCTTTTATAGTTTCATTTAATTTGTACATTGTTATTGAATATAGAACACTGTAAACATATGCTACATACAGTACTCTGAGTGATCTCTTATGCCACTATTGATTTATCTAGTTTCTAGCATATCTACTGATACACATTTATAGTTGCCGTTTAGAATATTGATCGAGATTATTCTTCTATTAAAATACCATGGATTTATTGTTTAAAGAGAATATCTATCAAATATTAATTATGATCGGATCAAATTGAACGATCAAAGTTATAAGGTACTGATAAGTAACTAATTGTATCATAATTTTTAATCAGTTGATACATAGTATACATATATCTTCTTTACTATTGATTTTGGTACCACTACACAATTTTTAAGGCAAAGCGAAGCTGCTTTAATGTTAGGTGGGAACCTTTTAACTTGTTTTAGCAAATCTGATTAGTATTAAAAGTGACTTGACAAATATGACACTGGTCACTACTTAGTGATTAATTAATCGTAACATATCACTCATACAGAAGATGGATTACGGTTCGAATAGCTCGCTAGTAACGTCTTTGACTATGAAGCTGGGTGAATGTTTGAGGTTTCATTTCGTGACTATTCAGTCACTTTACAGAGTATACTAGTTGATTAGCCACATTAGAACGTGACCAATGTAATTCGATCATCACTAAGGAAGATTTGACAAACATAACATTAGTCATTAATAAATGATCAGTCAAATATAAATAACCAGCTCCATATGAGCAAATTGGCTGATAAATACATATTTAGATACAACTTGCACAAAACTTATTCAATGTTTAGACAATTTTGGATGAGACTATAATTTATGTATGACCTTCGAGTGACGTCGGTATAACCTTGAGTATGTCCACCTACTAACTTGGATTAAATGAGGTTTTTAAAGCAATGTGAGGAATTAGAATTATATTTTACAGTTGATGGTTAGAATTAGGAACTAGATTTAGAGTTTTCATCACGAACTAACATTAGTTAAAATGCCGAAATACTGTTTATCCAGATGATTGAATGAGTTTCGTGCCAAAATCCAAAACCTGTTGTTATATTTAGAGCTTAGATTCTTTTCATACCGCTTACTGCTTGAGCACTCGAGTGCTAAAGCTCTCCAAGTCATAAATGAGAAAACAGAAGAGGAGTCAGAAGGAATAATATTCCAAGTAGTAGCAAATATGGTACAAAACTCTCAGGTATTTACAGTTTTTAGTAAAAGCGAAATCATCATTATAGTCGTACGATCCTCATATAGTGGTTTTTAGCATTTGTCCAATGGGGGTGATCCACATCAAGATTCTGGAATGTTCCTCCAAAATATGATTGGATGGAATATCTTTGTCATCTTTGAGATTTTTAGAGCTTCCTAGAGGTCACCCATGGAAAATCCTGAAACTAATCATCTTATATCTTATTGATTCATCCATAAATTATAGTCTCAACCATTTTTGTTTTCTTTGTAATTTATGTTATATATATAAAGCGTTTAATTAGGAGCAGACATGAAAAGGATTGCTCAGGACAGAATTGGATAGATAATGCTAGTGAGCGGTCTATGCTCCTCTATGACGGCTAACATGCGTAAATAAGTAATATTAAAAAAACTAGAGCAAGGTGTGATTTTAAAAATGTATAGGCAAGCCCTCACCTGGAATGCTCAAGTTCAAAAGAAAAGAGGAAAACCGAAGAACACATTAACGCGACACAGACGTGAGAAGAATGAACAACAATTGGATTGAACTAGAAAGGAAGGACCAGGACAGAGTGGGTTGGAGAATACTGCTGAGCGGCTCTATACTCCGTTGGGATTAACATGCGCAAATAAGTAAGTTTTATTTAACACGTCTTTGAACTTAATCACTTCAACCGCTCTATTCTTTCTGTAAATACTATCTATCTATCTATCTATCTATCTATCTATCTATCTATCTATCTATCTATCTATCTATCTATCTATCTATCTATCTATCTATCTATCTATCTATCTATCTATCTATCTATCTATCTATCTATCTATCTATCTATCTATCTATCTATCTATCTATCTATCTATCTATCTATCTATCTATCTATCTATCTATCTATCTATCTATCTATCTATCTATCTATCTATCTATCTATCTATCTATCTATCTATCTATCTATCTATCTATCTATCTATCTATCTATCTATCTATCTATCTATCTATCTATCTATCTATCTATCTATCTATCTATCTATCTATCTATCTATCTATCTATCTATCTATCTATCTATCTATCTATCTATCTATCTATCTATCTATCTATCTATCTATCTATCTATCTATCTATCTATCTATCTATCTATCTATCTATCTATCTATCTATCTATCTATCTATCTATCTATCTATCTATCTATCTATCTATCTATCTATCTATCTATCTATCTATCTATCTATCTATCTATCTATCTATCTATCTATCTATCTATCTATCTATCTATCTATCTATGATGAATAAAAATTTCTTAGGTGACCATTTGTTTTCTATATTTTTTCTGTTGAATACATAAAAATATTTTTAAAAATATTTGTGTTTTTTTTTTCACCATTGAATAGAACTAATTAGATGGTAACTAATTGAAAGTCACAAGATAAATATCGGATGATCATACGATTTCTGATTAAATTGGTAACACTATATAAGCTGTAGATATATTTTGGATATTAGATATAACTTTAGTCAATCTGTGTGTAAACATGGTGTTAAGACTATTCATTTGTTTATATGTGATTGTTTTATACAGTAAGTTGAAATATTACTGTTTTGTGTTTTATCTTTTTGGAGAATTAAAACTGCTAGAATAAGGGGTTATAGAAATGGTAATAATTTAATGGCTGAATTCATGAGTTGATTTAAGATAAATCACCATGGGGAAACCTAGAATTGATTCATGAATTCAATCATAAAATTACTACAATTTCTACAAAATTCACATTCTTAACAATCATCAGAATGTGCTCACTAATGATTAGCTTCAAGGTATGTTTCCTGCAATTCTAGTGAGTAGACATGACTAATAGAGTTCAACCGTGTCTGTTGTGAGGCCGTAGCTCACTGAACATAATGGTGAACGGTGATACATTTTTGTGGGGGTTGATTTAAGTGATACAATACCACCGTCAGATATCGGCTTAATGTTCTAGAGGTTAGGTCAAAGGTACTGGGTCGAATCCTGCGTGCGGGATCGTAGGTGCACACTGTTGAGCAGTCCTATATTAGGACGAAACGGCCATCCAGTACTTCCAGGTTTTCCATGGTGGTCTAATCTTGATCAACTCATGAATTCAACCATTAAATTAAAATTGTATTAAATGTTTTCTCTTTAGGAATTTCTGTTTAAATCTAAAGTGATACTCTATCTTATAATAGTTTGGTAATGAGTGAATGTTAAACAATAGTAAAGGGTAATATATTTATAAACTTGAATTAGACTATCTAACGAAACAATTTAGTTTGTTTCATTTCAATAACTCATTATAATACTCTAAATTAGTTATTATGACATAGTTTTCATTATATTAAGAGGGAGCAAATTGATAGAAAGTATTCATTGTTTGTATACAGGATTACAATTGATTACAATTAAGTAATATTAACATATTAGTACAATGACATAGTTACAAGTTCGAATAGATGAAGTTATTACTATCGTGCTTTGATATGTATTAACATGAAATAACCTAAATCTAGTAATCAATGTTGTTGTTATGATTAGTCGACCTCACCATTCAGTGCTTTATTGTCAACTTAAGAAATGTAACATAAACAGTAATCTATCATAATTGAATGATATAATCAATCATACCATAAGTGAAATTCTGATATTCAAACATTTTCATTATAAGATAGTTTAGTGTTGTAATCTTGATCAGTGTCTTAAATTATCTTAACCTATTCTGATGTGATTTTAATGCATAAAAACATGTAATTTTTCCTCAGAATGAATGAATACATGAATATGGTGATACCTTTGAGTGACGTTAGACTGACCTTGAGTGTATCCCTTTAATAACCAGAACCAAATGAGGGTTATAAGTCGGTGTGAGAAATTTGAATTATGATTTACAGTTGATGATTAAGGTTAGGAATTAGACTGAGAGTTTTTTTAATCACGAACTGATATCAGCTATAATGACGAAATAGTATTTAACCAAATATATGAATGAATTTCGCGCCAAATTATGAGACCTGTTATCTTATACGTGATTGGTTCATCCATAAGTTAGAGTCTTGCCCATGGATATTTTTGAATAAATTCAGTCAATCAGTCAGTTACAACGTAAGACCACTGTTGGGTCAGCTTCCGGAGAACTTCAACTGAGCATCCAGAGGCCCAAAAAGGAGCCGAAGGGCCTAGCCAATCAGAGTATGATGGAACGTTCGAGAATTAAGGCGTGGCGTGCTACCATTGGTCGGTAGCATAATATGACGTTAACGGATTGGCTGAAATATGATGTTAACTTAACAGACGCCAACATCTATAAATACCCTTGATTTTCTGTACTAGAATGAACCTTGGAATAAAGTGTTTTCTCTCATACTTGTGTCTTCTCTCTGGAGTTCAAGTCGCTGTGTAGTTCTAGTCTGCGGGTTACGGGAATAGCTTAGAAATCGTATATAGCGTTCAACCTACACGGCTTATCAACCACGTATAAATATACATCGGTTCAACTTGCTATATCACATTAGCACAATAAGATGAAAACCGAATTCATAGAAGTAGTCACTTTAATGGTGGTAATATATAAAAGAAAGATTGTGTATAAGGATATAATACAGGAAGAATGAATTAGTTGATAGAAAGAAATATATAAAACAATTTTATTCACACAGTTTAAAGGAAGACAATATAATGTTCAATAAACTATACTCTGAAAAGTGATGATAGGTTCAGTTAACGATTTGCATACAGGAAAAAAAGCGCTCATCCTGGATTCAACTATCAACTATCATCTATCTCCGCTTATAATGCTTGTGAATTATGGCTATATCATAGCAATCCTCACATGTTGCACATATTCCAATAAGATATGGATTAATTGAAGTTCTCAACATCAATGGGAATATTCTAACAGCCAATACAAAAAATGAGTCAAATATGAACACTTTTTTTCAAGTTTAATATAATCATTTTAAATTCTCTTTTAAAACAGTGTTTGTTTGTCATATTCCATTTATTACATAATCAAATAACTAATTAACGTGGAAAATAATTGAGATCTTAAATCTATTGATGTTAGAACATCACTGCAAACCTGTACGCACTGGACAGCTGATTCGTCCTATTGTGGAACTTCTCAGCAGTGTACATCCACGATCCCACTCGTGGGATTCAAACTAAGGGCCATCAATCTCGCGCGAATGTTTAATCTACTAGACCACTGAGCCGGCCGACATCTAACGGTGTTAATGTGTAACCTCAACCAATCCACGAAAATAATGTCAGTCATCATGAAATCGTATTCATCAATATTGAATAAGCAGTTGTTCATATCAGTATAAGGGTTGTAGAGATTATTAAGTTTTTGATTGAGATCATAAACCGATTGATGTTAGATCACCGTTAAAAACCCGGAAGTACTGGATGGCCATTTATAGTTTATAGTTTGTTTGACTTCTTTAAGAAATACTACTAAAATTGAATCAGTTTAAACAAAATTCTAGTTTTGAATGCTTAAAATGCATACAGCTAGGGATTTTTCTTTTATAGCTTAGCGTTTTTTTTTAGCGAGTTACTTTTCCACAGGATGGGGTCGCTAACCCCATGACCAACCCTCCTCCTTTACTCGGGATTGGGACCGGCAGTAACTCTAGAAGAGCTACAGGCGGAGTTTTCATAGCTTAGACAGATATGTAATTAACAGTGGAGTTCCATTTAGGACTAATCAGTTAAATGTATCTTCATCTTAATGTTGATCATCAAAAAATAGAATTCAAACTTAGTCCTAATGATGGCAATTCATATTCTTTCTAAATAGAGAATATCATAACCAATGTTGTTATTATTCAAATTATAATCATCACTTAGTTCTATCTACAATTCTATCTAATTAAGTTTTATTCTTTCAATATTTATAGTTGTACTACAGATGATTATTGTTGAATCCAATGTCAATGTCAATTTAGCAGACAATATCGATGAAGGTAAGTCAATTATTATTGTTTTTGTATGTATTTAGTTATACAACATAAGAGGATATTTTGTTTATCGGTATCACTGTCGAAGTTGACCTTGATAAATTCCAATAATAGTTGAATATTGAATAGAAAATCAATATTGAATATATATATTCCTTTTTTATCAGAAAAGGGTTTTGTGGAGAATCTGGAAGCAATGGACTGACGTTTCATCTTAGTATGGCACTACTCAGCAATACACACCTACGCTCTTGCACGTGAGATTTGAATTCAGGATCTTTGATCGCATGAGTGAACGTTTAACCTCTAGACTAACGAGCCGACATTCAATGGTGTTAATGTCTAATTTCAACTAATCCATGGAATTTCTCCACCATTCACCATTGTCTGCAGTGATTAACTATTTCACAACAGACCCGTTTGGATGCTGGATCAGTATTCTAGAAGTTGATTACTCGTGCGCGAGACCAAAGGTACTTGGTTCGGATCTCGCATACGGAAGCGTGGATATGTAATGTTGAGTAGTCCCGTACTAGAACGAAACGGCCGTGAAGTCCTTCAAGGTTTTTCATAGTGGACTAGATTTAATCGATACATGAATTCAACTATTAAATTTTAGTATCATTTTTAACAAAACAATGTATTCTATTAATTTTTCAAAAGTTGAATTATTGATTAATTAATATTGTTTCATTGGCCGTTACCAGTGGAGTTCAACCGGTCTGTTATGAGATAACAACTCACTGAAGACAATGGTGTACGGTGGCGCAACTTCTTGGATTGGTTGAAGTTAGACATAAACACCGTTGGATGCCAGCTCAGTGGTCTAGTGGTTAAGTGCTCGCGCGCGAAGCCAGTAGGTCCTGGGTTTGAGCCCCGTGTGGTGCGGGATCGTGGATGCGCACTGCTGAGTCCCACAATAGGACGAAACGGCCGTCCAGTGCTTCCAGGTTTTCAATGGTGGTCTAGCTTCAACTGATTCATGATTTCAACCTGTGATATAAATATATTCAATGTACATTTTGATGTAGTTTTAATCAGTTATGAATCCATAGTTGGTACATAAATAAATATACATCAATATATAGTCTTGTAGTCATTTGTATATCAAGACACTGTCAGTTTATTCGACTGTCATAACAAACAACTGTACCATCAATAATGTCAGGATTTTATCAAGTCACTTTCATGACAGTAATGTGAGTACCATTGATAGGAATAATAAAAGAAAGTTTCATCAAAATCATGAATCCATCTAAGTTGTAAAACTATTAAAAATCTGGAAACATTGGACGGTTTTATCGTCCTATTATGAAACTTATTATCAGTGTGCACCTACAATCCTACAAGGGAGAATCGAACCAAGGAGCTTCGAACTCGTACACCTTCAGACTAATTAGTCGGTATCCAGCAATGTTAATTGTTATGATTTGATGTCCGGCTTTTTATCAGGTGACTTATCCACCAATCAGGATACGATTTATGCAAATCTTCACACTATGCCAACCAATGACGTTCAACCAGTGTGGGCAGTTAGCGTCCTTATTGGTCTTATGTCCTACGAGCCCTTCCACTTGAGTCCAAAACAAGATACCAGCTTCCGAATCAGAGCAGATCGTTTATTTCAGGCATACTTGGTTTATATATCAATCACACAGACCGCAACGTACCATAAAATAGGAAATAATATTTGTACACAAATCAGCCCAAAAAGTGGCTGTGAATGTGGGAGGCAGTAGTTAATAAACTGAACATAACTTAAGAACCGTAAATCGTACAATAATAAATTATAGGCCAAAATAAAGCTTGTCATAAGAGGGATATAAATATACATAATGTAATTGTTGAATAGTTATATAATAAGAATATTTATAGAATATTAGTCCATGAATAGTCCTCGGAAGTTACCTGTAATTTAATCTCTACTCGGATATAACAAGATGAAATAATCGTCCAGTGCTTCCAAGTTTTCAATGATCATACAGATTAGAAGAATTATTTATGCATTCATGTATATAAGACTTTACAATCATGTTTATATTGTTGTTTATATGACTTTCTTCCATATTTATACATATATGTAGATAGTTTAAAAGAACCAACATTTTGGTTATTACAAGAAGCTAAAAACTATTTCTATTTTGAATGGACTCCATTTTATGAATTAAAAAGTGATGCATTAAAATTGAATTTAAAAAAATCTGATATAACAAGACAATTAAAAATGGATGAGACTGCATCAAAATTACAAACTATTGGTAGAGCATGTATAAATGAAGAGTATACCATTACAGATCATCGTTTACACATTTATTTGATTGATAGTGTCAATTCAAAAAGGAAATTAAATTATAAACGTAGTGAGTTTTAATTTTGTTAGTATAAATGATAAAGATAATTAGTAGTATATTACTGAATAACAATTTGTTAGGATAATCGGAAAAATATACCAATAATTATTGTGTTAAGTCTACGGTGTCCTTGAACCTTAAATGTACATTTCCTATTAGTCGATGTTTACTTCGCTTGTTAAATATTTTGTAAATGTTGTTCTCTATTTTATGGTACGATGTGGTATGCTTGATTGGTATATAAACAAAGTATGTTTGAAATATAATGATTCATATCTCAGAGGCTGTGACTTGTGTTCTGGACTCACCTGGCTGGGCTGGACAGGGAAGCAGGACCAATCAGAACTATAGACCGTTCGTTCGTGTTTACGTGTCACTGTAGTCGATCGATAAGTACGCTGCTCTCTAATTTTCCAGTCAAGGACACAACAACTAGCACAGAGTAAAAATCGACAGCAACCTAAAGTCATAACAATTGGCGACGGTGATGAGATTTGTTGAAAGACTTTTGGTGCTGGTTTCACACCAAAAGGTAAACGCTTATATTGGTAAAGACCTCTGTTGTTGTAAAAATATCTTCAAAGTAAGAGAAGTAAACGGTGAACTGTAAAGAAGAGGTTTTGATTGATCAGTTAGATTTATAGATTACTTACTTACTTAACAGTGTTATTCCTTGGAGAAGAATATAAACTGCACAACAACATTCTGCATTCAACTCTATCCTGAACATTCCTTTTTATTTCTTTACAGTTTTTGTTCATTATTTTGATGTTAGTTTCCAATTACTGGAGTAATATGTTTTTCGACTTTCCTCTTTGTTGGTTCCGTTCACGATTCCAAGTTAGCACTTGACTCATGAAGAAGTTTGGTGATTTCCCTTATGAATGCTCTACCCACTTTCAACGTCTTTCCCTATACATGTGACTTCTGATTGCACAGTCACGCACGTACGAAACTACTGTAATTGCGTTACTTATAATTAAGTGACGCGAACCAGAGGACATGTGGAAATGCTAACCTTACGAAAACTTTGATACAATGAAACATTTGACGAGGCATACAAGAATCCCAAATCTTATGTTTGCACACTATCCTCCTCATATGCATATATCAATTATCGATATTATGATTTCTGTTGATTTTAGATATCTCGAAATATCATTTTGAAATAAACAATGCATATAATAGGGCATTAATATATCATGAAAAGCCGTGCTTATTTGTGTGGAGATAATCTTTAGTTGTGAGATCTTTGGTGCACATTCTTACTAAGTATATTAGGATGAAACAGTTGTTTAGTGTTTCCCCATTTTCATTGTTTATTTAAGAAAGATCGTTCTATACTGTTAACTATTTATATTTGTAAGAATATAGTGTAAACAGCACTTTAATGTTCAGTTTTTAGAGTGCAAAGTCCAACAATCGGGATGACAAATAAAAAGCCCGCATACATAACATGGGAAATAAACGAAAAAATTTGCAATCCATACGATGCAATAGTGATTTTTAAAAAAGATTCAACAGGATTTCATCGAATGCATATTGTCTCAGCTGATGAAACAGCATTTTATTTTGATGAAATATTACAAGACCAAGAAGAGATTATTATTACAAGTTATCATGAGAATATGTTTGGTTTATCTGAATTAGGTAAGTCTATTAAAGTGACTTTAATAACCGAAAATGTATCGACATCTAATTCTCATTAGTTTCAAGAAGAAGCTAACCCCCCACGCACCGATTATCCTTATTAATGAAGACGTTTGCAGGTTAATCACTAATAATCACATAATGATATTGTAGTTTATATTACGCAATATAAACTACAGTATCATTATGTGATTATTATTGATTAACCTGCAAAAGTTTTCAATAATAAGGATAATCGGTGCACGGGGGGTTAGCTTCTTTTTGAAAATTTTTAACTGATGAGGCCAATGTCACTAGTTCAGGCAAGAAATGCCAGTAATTGACCACTCGATTGGTTTGCTTTTATTTCCCCTTTATTGGTTGTTTGGGTCGAAACGGAACCTAGCTTTAAGTTTAGTAGATGGCGGCTTTTGAAGCTTCCTCGGAAATTATTAATTCTGAAGGGAGCAAGAAGATCAGAAATATCAACTTCTAGATAGTAATTAAAGATAAGGAATGACAATGAAGAGTGACCACACGCTCTGCGATAACAAAAAAAGGAAAGCTCAAGCAACCAATACAGGGGAAACAAAAGCGAAGAAGAAGGAAATAAAGCGGGTGAAAGCGTAAATAAAGTGGAAATGTGAATTTTTCGCCTTCATGTCGGTAATTTAGAGATTTAAGAGCTATTTGTAAGGGAGTCGAGAAAGACCATTCACTAATTATTATTGCTAGCTTCATTCGCTATTATATTTTTAGTAAAAAACGGAATTTTCAGCCCAAAGTATTTCAACAACTTTCCTTTTCGTATTTCTTGATCTATTATGTCAACAAGTAATAAGTGATTGCCAGCTGGAAGTTAGCGGTCCAGTCTATCGATATCTTAGAAATGTACATTTTTTCGCTACATATTATCAGCAAACACAATATCTCTGAACAGGCCTTTTGTAACCTGTACAACGAAATGTTGTACACTTTTCAGAAACGTACCTGAATAGGTCATGTCTTCAGTCTTCAGTCTTCAGTAATAAGGATAGTAGGTTGATGAACCTGTGTTAATCCTGACACATTACTTTCCAGTGAAGGTCCAGCTTTTCCTTGAAAGTATTCACTGATGTGATTAAAAACCATTGTGACGTATTAAAACAAATATAAATATGACTTGCTGAAATATCTAGATGTAAGGAACAGACAGGTTAGACGCTCCTACTCGCTAAAAACGTTCATGTGAGCTAGTATTCTCGATAAGACATTCACCAGCTGCTTGAATACAGTACTTTAGGTGTGGTTTTACATATGCGGTATGTAAAATTCGAAGCATGTCCTTGTCAAGGCATTTGAATCCTTGGAGAAATAACCATAACTCACGAAAACGTTTGGCAGCCTCTGATTTGCAATTTCTTGTTAAATTAAAGTCATGACATACTATTACCCATAAGCCTTTATGTTCCTGAACTCATGGAAGAGATGTAGCGTTGATAGCATACTGGTAACTATTACAGTGTCCAATGTGGATGAACACACAAGATTAAATCAACAACAAATTTTTCAGTATTTCTTATTCAATCAAAACACAGCTTTGTTGAAAGATCCATTACTGAAAAAGAGAACAATAAAGTATCATTTATAACGAACGGGTTTTACATTACAGTTTACTCTTCATGTAAGCTGATAATAACATAAGTGAAAAGATTCTCCCGTAAGGATATAGAGCACAAGAATTCCAGAGTTGTAGAAATAATCTAAGTAGATTTTTAAAAGTATTCTGATTGAAATTGGTTACACATAAATAATAAAGTTCAGGGTTGAATAATGAAGATTTAGTTCTCATTATGAACTGATATTAGTTATAATATAAAATGCTGTGAAGCGCCAAGGCTAAAAGGATGCTATGCATAAAATCACGAGTTGCCATATATATAGTTCATTCATCAAAAATATATTCCTGGTAGGTTCAATCTTCTTTATGGATAGTATGGTTTACGAATAGTATCGATTCACCTATTATGTTCATTCTATCAGAAGAAAGATGAACAGTTAACGTGCTGTCAGACATGATTTTCATCTTATGACTGTAGCAACCATCTTTTTTTCGTGAACTATTAAATAATATTTCTTCTTAACGCTATACATAAAATAGTTGTATTGACAGCAATGTATGATATTTTGTTAAAGATGTATTACAGATTGTGTACAGTGTATTTAAAAAGAGTACAACTAGTTATTAGGACCATATTGAACATATTTTATTGATTAGAGAAAATGTTCAACACGATTGTGAGTTACTAAATGTATCCTAGTGATGAAAGTACAGTATTCGAAACCACTTCACCTTTATCATTATATTAACGAAATAGAAAGCATGTAAAATTTACTTGATATAACTCAACAAAGATCTGTGAAAATTGTTATATCTTGTAACCGCCGATTAGATGACAGTGAATTATTGATCGGACCAAGAACGCGTAAAACATGTGCGAGCAGCCTAGAGTTCTGACTAGTTCTGCTTCCCGCCCAGTTCAGCCAGTTAAGTCCAGAACACCAGTCTCAGCCTCTGCAATATGAATCATTATATTTCAAATATACTGAGTTTATATCCCAACTAAACAAACCACAACGTACCAATAAAATATGAAGCAACATTTGTACAACAATTAGCCAGATGTGGCTGTGAATAAGGGAGGTAGTAATTAATATACTGAGCCAAAATAAAGCTTATCATAGGAAGAATATGAATATGAACAGTTTACTTAATTAACTATTATACGATAAAAATATACATATAGTACTGGTCCACAAATGGATCTCAAAAGTTACCATTCATTATGTTTATTGGGTCCTACGCGTGTCGGGTAGAGACAGGTATCTACTTCAGTACAATGGAAGGTGGTCGCGCGATTTCGTGGATTGGTTGATGTTAGACACTAACACTGTTGGATGCCGGCTCAGTGGTCTAATGGTTAAGTGCTCAGGCGCGAAGCCAGTAGGTCCTGGGTTTGAATCCCGCGGAGTGCGGGATCGTGGATGCGCACTGCTGAGGAGTCCCACACCAGGACGAAACGGCCGTCCAGTGCTTCCAGGTTTCCAACAGTGGTCTAACGTCAAAAACTTAACAATCTCCACAACCCCCATACTGATAAAAATTACACAGATTGATAACAAATTGAACATGCTTTGCAAATGTAAACAAACATTTCATTATTATATTGAATTTTCATTTCATTTTATTCATTGCATATTAAAAACAATGATGAACATTGGATAGTTGTAAGTTATTTCGCATTACTATTATAGAATAACAATGTTTATAAATTATAATACAATGAATAAATGATAACGTTCAAAACATTTTCATGATTGACATTTGTTTCTAAAATTTGAATGTATCAAAGGTTACTTACGTCTATTGAGGACATTTGTTTCCATGATGATGTCTGTGTTATGAGATATTTTTATGGTTTGATTGTTACTTTGAAGTATTCATACAACAAGATTTTGATGTCTACAATAAACTAGTTGTGTTTATGTTATACAATCTAAATGTGCCTATGTACTTTGTTTTTTTTTCATATTTACACAGAAATACGGAAAGAAATCTGATGAACCAGGTAGAATGATTAGTATAATTTGTTTGGTTATTTATTTATTTACGGTGAATATGTTATCCAACTCAGGCAATGGATGAAGGGTTGAGCAAGATAATAGATCCATTAGAATTAGACAATAATACTGTTGTATACTGAATCAGTAGTTTAGAAAATAAGTGTTCTTGAGCAAGTCTAAAGCTCCAGGTTCGATTTCTGCTTACGTCATTTTAAATGCGCACTACTGAAGTGTCTCATAGTAGGATGAAACAACCGTTCAATGTTTCCAGATATTCAATGAATTCAACTATGAAAATACTACAATCTTCACAAATTTCCATACTTAAGATATTTCATAATTTACTCGTCTGATGGATGCCTGAATTGTAGCTCACTCTGAACACCCGTTTCTTTTTTACTTGAGGAAAGATGTGACAGTATATTACGTGACGATCGTGAACTGATCACATAATAAAAAACTTCATATTCCAGTTAACTAATTAGTTTGAGGCTTTCATTTGAAGGATACAATAACTAAGATGTTGCAATGAAATGCAATGAGATGTTTGATAAATAAATATCAGTGCTGGTTATTAACAACCGGAAATCACAAAACTTTACTGATTAATTTGTATGTTAAAGGTTGTTTATTTTCTTAAGTATTATGTTTACATTTGAATTATTATGTGCTATGTTCAAGCATCAGTTATTATTTGAATGGAAGTACATTTAACCGATATGTAGAAAACACTGATTCTACATTTAACTCTTAAACATGAATTAAAGAATATTCAATCTAATCCGTTCTGTTATAAGTCATCACAATTGATTGATCACTGGGTGGTGATCAATCTCATGCTTGTCTAGTCCTTATTAGTGCAGATCGAATGCTATCGATCGTATTGCAATGTGGCCACCACTCTAGGTGACTCGACACTGCGGGCACTATTTATTAAGATTTAGATGGTGGTTGGAGGTAGTCAACAGGAAACCCTGGACCCGGGTTTCGTGCTACTTGGCACTCGTCAGCAAGGTGTACCTGTAATCTTGAGGGAACTGATGCTCCCTGGAGGATTCGATCTCGTGTCACCCAGATTCACAGTCAGAGACGTTACCACTGAGCTATCCGAGCCGTGACTAACCTCCTGTAGGACTGAGATGTAATCACAATTGATTGATCACTGGGTGGTGATCAATCTCATGCTTGTCTAGTCCTTATTTGTGTTATAAGTCATGCCTAATTCTCATCTCAACTAAGTTGAATCAGAAAGTAATCCGTAATATTGAATAGAAATCTAAGTCATTATAAATTATGATACAGACCAATCCTCTGTGTTCAATCAATTGTCAGTAGTATAAAATGTCATTTTATTCATTAAAATTCTTCATCACATGTAAAATGACACTAATTTGATTTCACAGATCGATCAATAAATATGAATAAAACGAAGAAACATGTTATAGGTAAATTGAATTATCATCACCTTCTGAATATTACATTCACAAATATGATTTTCATTATGTAACTAACTAAATTGTGATAGTGAACTAATTTTAACACGAAAATGTCATGATAATTTGACAACGATCAAATAGGTGGTTATTTACAAGAATGGTATAATGTTTCAAATTATTTGAATTGTAGTATGAACTAAGAATCCCAGAAATAATGCAATGGAATCAAGAAGTATTAGATGAGCACAAAAGAATGTATTGTATTTAGAATTTGAAATCAAGCATTTAAGAAGTGCATAAAAAAACGTTAGTTCATTCAAACACCACATCCACCACAGCTTAAATTGGAATAGAATTGTCTGTAATAGGTTGTACGTCTTCTTCTTAAGTTCATCCTGTGTCTGTCCGACATTGTGTTGGATAAAAACTCTGTAGTATCTAGAATGTGCTCATTAGCATTGGAATTAACAAACGAAATCGGAACAGACTCACTTGGGTCCTGAAATTGTATACAATTAGCATGTAGATGTTGTAATGAAATCATAAATATCTAGAATTCGAACCATAGATTTTTCAACACTATCACCCACCACAAAATTCTGTTGGATCTTTATATCCCCAAGGTATGAATAATGTGGCTTCATTTAAAACATATTTCTCACATTGGTTAGGGTAAACATTAGAAGTAACTTTGTGATAAGGATAAACAGCAGTTGATATGAAATCATCCGAATTGTAATTAAAATCAAGGTCATTTAGTACTTGTGCTTCGCACTGAACAAGTTTCCCACGAGAAACAAATCCAGTATGAGGACAAATAATATTTGATAGAGTATTCAGATTTAATTCTTCTGAAATAGTTTCCTCAAATTTATTAAGACTGTCATTGGAGAGTAAAAGACCATTAGAAAAATCAGCATCTGTCAAAACTACATCAGGTTTTTGATCATGACTAGGTTCATTCAACATATTTTTCTTCAGATTTGCAAGGAATTTCGCCAGAAATAAGTGGATCATGAGGAAAAACCATATCTGGTACAATGACATGAGAAATCTGATAAATCGATTGGTTAGAAACTGTTGTCTCGCAAGAATTCTGAACTTCATTTAACTCTGAACTGCTACATGACTCTACAATGTCTTTTGAAATCGCTGATAAAGATAAATGATCATTATAAATACTCGACTTAATAGACTAAGAATTACAAGACTTAATATTAGTTGGAGTAAGATAAACATATGTCCAATATCACCACATTTAAAGCACTTAGAATTACAAAATTTACATGAATTAAATGAGCGGAACTTGCCACAGGACAAACATTGACCAAACTTATGCCCATCCTCGTGAACTGCATCCAAACTCAATGAATTATCTGCATAACCTTGAGTATGCACTGGGTTGAGATGACGTAGTAATGTAGTGAAATTTTTTATATCCTCATGAATCATTTCACGAGATCTTCCTCCTTTACCGCATTCGAAATTTGTATGCTGAACATAGTCTAGAATTGGTTCCTTGAGAGTTGTATAAGAAAGCGAAATGGGCTTTTCCGGAATAGCCAGAGTTTTTAATAAGCTTTATGCATCTTTTCCGATGAATGTGAGGAAATGTGCTACAATACTAACATCCTCATCATCTTCCTTGGTCATAGCCCAGAATTCGAACCTTTCAAAGTAATCTTCAAAAGCTTCAGAATTTGAATGAATATCTAACTTTTCCATCAAAGGCTCCATCGCGACGTCAATATAAAGCATGAATTAAGAATCGCAGAAATAACGCAATTGAATCAAGAAGTTCTAGATGAGTACAAAAGAATGTACTGTATTTGAAATTTGAAATCAAGCATTCAACAAGTGCATAAAAAAACATTAGTTAATTCAAACAACACAGATGGTTAAACTGAAGAAATATATAGTCATTTCTATAGACTAGAGAAAAGTTGACAGTAACTGACTGGTAAATACTCCATTATTTTTGATAGTTCTGCAGTCAGTTTCAGTCTGTGTGAATAATTGTATCATGCAACTCAATTCATAATAAAATTTCTTTCATATACATTGTAAGTCAACAATTCAGTAAATGGGAATATATTTCAATTTTACATCAGTGATTAATATGTAATTAGTCGACTGTTGATAATCAAGAATAAGTGACTTGATATCGTCAAGTTCAACGACATTTGATGATAATCACTTACATAAGAAGTAATGACTAAGCATCATTATCATACTACTGAATTATGTTCTGATGAACTGAAGACTTTTGAGGATGTATTTTAACTGTACAGTCATAAATTAAGTATTGATTCAGGAAAATAAGTTATACTCTTCTTATTTTTCTACCCATCTATTCAGAAGAAAACAGTAATACTGGTCATTTGAATACGGCAGGTTAGCTATTTACTATATGAGTTAAAATACCTATGAATCATAATTTAATTTGTAATGATTTGTATTATTCGGTTGTTGATTATCTGACTGGACGTTGAATAATCTTAGTTTAGATATATTCAGTTTGTATGGATTAACTCAAACGAACTATTATGTTACAAGTTTACATAAAGGAGACAACATGTGGTTGGCAGTGGAATCTAGAGCGTTTGTTTCATTGTACTTGAAACTGGTTGATTGACTGTTCCTGCATCACAGCATTACCGTGAACCCAGAGATTGGAATCAAGCACCTTTCACTTCAAGAATCAACTCTATATTTGCTTGTCTATCAAAATGTCATATTTGCTCAGTTGTGTGAAGTCTATGAGGTAAACGATTCAGAGATGCAGATTTATCTAGTCAGCAAGTCCTAAAACAGATTAGGTGTGTGTCATGAACTCAAAGGATATCTAATTTCGATCGTATTTATTTAAATCACATCATCCAACCTTTAAATCGATGCAAACTATAATGAAACGGTCATTTGTAGCTGATATTATAATATATACAACCATATGTCATTTTTGACTAACCTGTTGTACTGGTATTATACATTCAATCAAGTTGTAATGCGACTATAAATCCAGATTGTTTGATATCGCATTCATAATGTGTATGATGTAACGTGATTGTTAGCATTCGACAGGAAACCTTGAATCTCAGTTTTACTGGAGCTGAAACTATAATATAGTAAAACTAACCGCTTTAAATTACCAAACACAGTAAATCATTAACAGAATTCTCGATATTCCATTTTTAATATATCATCTTATTACTTCTTTTCTTTATTTCAGGAGCTCACTTCACCTGGAAAATAATGTAAGTTTAGGAATCTTTAAATTAGGAAAAAGAATCCCATACTATTCACTTATTCATCTACAAATAATTCTTAGGAGGCCTACAAAAGCGTTTGATGTTTCAATAGATCTGTAGGAGAAATATCATGGTTTCAATAATAAAATTCCTACTTCACATCATCTTCATAGTAAAAAGTTAGATATCAGTTATATTGTAGTGAACAAAAACACGGGTGAGGGCAATCGAATGTATTACAGAGTTACTTGATAAAATAGAAAAACCATAGACTAAATCGTTAATTTGCAAAATGTTAATTCATCAGATCAAATTGGACTGTTCCTGTCACAAACATTAATCGATTGTTTCACATTTCATTATTCATGCGTTTTCATACAAATACCATTGTGTTCCAGCTCTCCGTTTCCTGATCTTTACCCATCTTCTGCTGCCAGACATTACATTTCTGACTTACGTCATATACTACTTAAATCAATATACGTAACGCATACCACAGTATCATTACTATTATCACTAATAATTTGCTGAAATTACTTTTAACATTTCTGGCTTTCTATTTTCTTTTCTTTATTTTAGTGGAATTGGGATGATCTATCTTGTGATATTTATTTGCATTTGTATATGTATATACTTTACAATCAAACATTAAATGAAATTAGTGTTTCCCATTGATGTATGACAGAATGTCTTCTTGTACACAAATGAATAAAAACCATTGTATATAATTATAATAATCTTGGATTTTGTTTTGTTTTTGTTTTCTTGCTGAATAATCTAATATCTATGTGTAATGAGATTATAATTTATGGACGCCTTTTAAGTCACGCTAAAATGACTTTGAGAGTGTTCCCCTAATAACTAAGACCAAATAAAGGTCATAAACCAACATGAAGAATTAGAATTATGATTCACAGTTGACGGTTATGATTAGGAATTAGATTTAAGGATCTCATCACGAACTGATCATCAGCTATAGTGTCAAAAGTCTATTTAGCCAAATGGATGAATGAATTTCGTGCCAAAATTCAAGATCTGTTAGCTTACATGTGATTGATACGTCCATAAATTATAGTCTCGCCCTATGTGTCAGGTATTGGTCCATGTGAATCAAGAGATTACGTTGAAATCATTTGCCTTTGGTTTTTATTCATAAATAGCATCAGTGAATGGTTTCTTCACTTTTTCACCGATTTCCTAATTGTTGTCTTTTTATACATAACGAGTTTTAGGGATTGATGCTTACTGTCAATATTGCTTCGTAGATGTTATTGAATTTCTCATAGTTTTCATTATGGAAGTCTGTTACTTAAGCAATCACTGTAAACCATAAAGCACGGAAGAGCTGTTTTATCTTATTATAGAACATCACAACAGTATTCCTAATGGACACATTTATACAGTCGTAGGAACTTGTTTTAATGCCTACACATATAAAGTGGAAATGTACACTGTCTACTCAGAATGAAAACACACATTTCACCTGACATACATGTAGGTTTAAAAAGCCTAAATTAGTTTAATGCGCACAAGCCTATTTCAGTAACAAAATTGTAAAAATCGCTCGATATAGATTAATGATGATAAATTGAGAACATTTGATTCCGTAACTGGAAGAAGAATAGAAAAATAGCTTTATGACTTCAGATGAGTACCTTCTTACAAAAAATGGTTTATTTAATAAAACCGGAAATAATACATTGTGTCTGATACTGATGAACCACAAGAAGGGAATTTTCCACAACAGAAACAAGCAGTGCAGAATAAATCAAAGAAATGGCTGATCAGTAAAACTACTACTGAATGTTTCATGTTTGTTTTGAATAAGAAAATTAATCGGTTGAGTATTCGGCTACTTGTGATTGTTAATCAAACGAACAGATCAATACTATTCCACTGTTCATGAAAAAATAACGGATTTGTATTAAGTCTTTTAATGAGAATATAAATCTTAACGTAATTA